CTATCAATTGGAAGAATGGGAGATTTCACAACATCTGCCAGTTCCCAACTAGCTAGAAAGATATTGAGTGTGCCAAAACGTACACAGACTACTTCTACTGGGAAACGTTCAGCATATAGAACATTGTCAGAAATGCCTGATGAAGATTGGGGCGTACCAGATGTGTGCCTGCAAAAAACTGCCGAGGTACGAATCACTTTGCGAAGCAAAGAATTTGAGTTTTGAAAGTATCTCTAGGTGATGTATATAATGGAGATGAAAAATTGCCGTGCTGCTATGGGCCAGCTAAAAGTGATGACAGATGGTAATCGTAATTGGGCCCTATTCTCTCCTACCGATTCTCGCATGCCGAGAATGATGATTCCGGCCGATCAACTACCATCTGGGTTTTTCGAAAGACCACAGGTAACAGTTTTGAATTTGCATGACAGTCAGTTGAGAAATTGTATTTAAAAATTCTTACCTTTGAATAGTAAAAATATTCAACCCCTTAGTCATACACGTTGAACCTGGGGAAGGAGTGAAAACATTAAGCTTTCCCGAATCTGGAGAAAATCGCGTTACTCATGAAATTTATGATGTAGTTAGAGCATCGTCATCGAAAGAAAAAAACTAGAGCAAATTTATCGTACACGTGGTGTAAATGCACGCAACACATCTAATCTACGAAGCAGTGTTTGGCTGGCTGCAGTGTATGAGCGGCAATCATACTCTTCAACCAAACGGAGTATCATAGCAATACGAAAAAATACTTGAGCAAAAGAAATTAGAATTTATTTTTGTTCATTTTTTGTGTTCGTAAATCAGACACATTGTGGATAATTTAAAACTTCATTTGGAATTTTGCAATATTTAATTTTCAAGCAGCTCATCGACATCTGTTATCTAAAGAAATTAGGAGTACTTCTAGTGGTACAATTTTTTTCATGCAAAGCATCAGCACTTATGTTTAAGGATTTCGCAAAGTTTATTTTTGTGGCAAGGATGGTAGAATGGCAAGCTACAGCTCAGTTCGCACGTGGAAAACTGGAACGCACCTTAGGTTTGGCGGGAGATGTTGAAGTGTGTGCACATCTCAG